ATATATATATATATATATATATATATATATATATATATATATATATATGTATATATATATATATATATATATATATATATTTATATATATATATAAATATATATATATATATATAAATATATATATAAATATATATAAAAATATATATATATATATTTTTATATATATATACATATATATATATATATATATATATATATATATATATATATATATATATATATATATATATATATATATACATATACACACACACACATATATATATGTATATATAAATATATATATAAATATATATATATATATATATATATATATATATATATATATATATATATTATCATATATACATATATATATATATATATATATATATATATATATATATATATATATATATATATATATATATATATATATATATATATATATATATATATATATATATATACATATATATACACACACACACACATATATATATATATGTATATATAAATATATATACAAATATACATACATACATATATATATATATATATATATATATATATATATATATATATATATATATATATATATATAAAATATCAAGCCTTCTGGAAAGCGTGTGTGGTCGCTCGCCTTGTTCATCCATGTTTAAGGTAATTTTTTCAGACTAACTGACCACGGCAGTTTGCGTTTTAATATTTCATGACAAAAAGCCAAACTTATTTACTAAGAAAAAAAAAAAAGAAAAGCTTATTAATTAAAAAAAGTCAATTAAATAAAAAATTATAAAATTTTTATACAACTTTTTTATTCTTTTTTTTTCGTTGTTGAAAAAAATATCTTTTATAACAATTTAACAACAATTGAAAGTTTGGATATGTAATTTATTCATGATTTTTATTAGTCCATATAATTAATAAACTAATTTGCTAAGTACGCTAGAACTAAAAGAAATTTTTTAAAATTTTTTTTTTAGGTTTATTCGTTTAAATATGTTTATTTGTTTTTACGTCTTTTCGCTTTTAAAAAAGTTTTTGATATATTTGACATTTTTTCTCAATACTTATATATATACTTTTATAATCAGAAAATAAGAAAATAAATTATCATTTATTTGTAAAAAATATTATTTGATTAATAAATTTTGTTAATGACGAAATAAGTTAAATAAAAGAATAACATAGAGACTTAAATAAATATATTTACCGCATTTGATGCATGCATGTGCAAATTGTTGCAAATTGTTTGCAAATTGTTTCTTTTATATTGCCAAATTTCCAATGTTAATTCCAACGAATTACTAGAGATAATCAACATAACGATTGCTCTGTTTAAAAAAATGTATTTAAAAACTTAAAAGTTTTAAATAGTCTCCTAAAAATTTCTTTAAGAAAGTTCAGTTAATTAATAATGCACTAGCCCACAAAATTCTGCAGCATCGTTTTTTTACATGAAAAACATGTTTAAAAAAAAAAAAATTCACAAATAAATAGCAATTAGTTTTCTTGCTTTCCTGTCCATTGATAAAAACAGTAGTTTAGCAAAGACATTTAAAAAACCAATTTAAAAACTGTCCATGTTTCTAGCACAATTTATAAAGCATTTCCTTTATATACTGACTGAAAAAAGTTGCAAAAATTTCATCTCAAAAAATATTTTTATTTTTGTTATATTCTTATCTACTTTTTTCCTCAACTTGTATCAATTTTGGTAGTGGAAAATAACAAACGCTCTAAAAATAAGAATACTAAAACAGTAAATATTTAGGTATATTATTTTTTTGACAACAAATTTTTTTTTTATTAATAAATTTTTTTTAGTTTATTTTATTTAGATTTTTTATTTTGTATAGTTTTAGGTTCTTTTGTTTGATTATTGCTGATTTATTCTCTAGCTTCTTATAGCTTTATTTTGCCCTGAATTATCAAAACGCTTACTATATAAAAAGGTAGTCAAGTTATCTAAAATAATTACTTGAAGCATGGATGAAAAGGTGTACAATTGCACGCGCTTCCCGGGAAGGCTTAATATATATATAAATTTAAATTAAAATAAAAAAAAAAAAAAAAAAAAAAATAAGTTTAATTTTGCTGTGGGCATATATTCAGCAAGAGTGCTTGATGAATGATATCAGAGCTATATAATTGACATATAAATCTATATAAATGTAGAGCCTCAAACGTTATTTATAAATGTATAGTATCCCGCCATAACACTCCAGAAAAAGTATATATTGGCCTAGCAGAAGGTGAATGGAAGAAAAGATTGGCTAACCACAAACACTCGTTCACAAACAAAAAGATGAAAAATTCAATCACCCTTTCAAAGTATATATGGCAGATAAAAGAAAATTAAAAAATAACACCCCAATTAACCTGGTCAATAATTAAACAAATCCCTGCCTACAGCAACGTAACAAAAAAATGCTTGCTTTGCCTTCATGAAAAACTTTGCATAATATCATACAAAGGTACGCAAGAACTATTAAATAAAAAAACAGAAATAATATCTAAGTGCCATCATGAAAACAAGTTTTTGCTTGACAACCACAAGCCTAAAGATTAAAAAACCAAACCAAAAAACAATTTATTTTTACCTGATGATTGCTTAATGCATGAAACTTTTAGTAGTAAAAATTATGTAGTCATTTTTTATTTAATCTTGTCAAAAAAATCAATTATATATATTATATCAATTATATGTAAATGTTAGTAAAGTAAGGTACTTTAATATACATAGATGAGTATTTGACTTAATGAAAATCCTGGAAATATTTTTTAATGAAAATCCCGGAAAATTATTTAATTAAAAATTGATCCTATTAACTGAAAACAAAAACTTTCGCAAACTTTTAAAACGGAATTTAGATTATTTAACTTTTTATATAAAGGAATTTCTAATATTCAAAAAAGTTAATTTGAATAAATTAAAAAGCAAAAAAAAAAAAAAATTGTTACGAAAATTGATCTCATGAAAAATTTAACTATAGAAAACATATTTGTTTAAATGCACAAGTTTTTAAAATTCTATGTAAAAATTTATAATTTTATTTAAACAAATTAATAAAAAAAAGCATCCGGAAATTTCTGGAAAATTAAAGGAGTTTTAAGTGAATTTCCAGAATTCCGGGAATTCCTGGAAAAAACTCATTTATGAATATAAGCATAACTTAACATAACCACTTTGAATGATAAAAGGGTTCTGGAACCCCTGCATATATTTGGTATTTGGATCCCTAATTAAAATGGATCAGAAATTTTTTCAGCACCTCAGTTGTTTTCTTCAGAACCCCTTACTGATGGAGTACCAGAACCTTGGGGTTGTAGAACCCCAAATTTAGGTAAATGTTTTAATATCTCAAAAGTTTATACACTGCCTTATTTGTTTAATTTAACATAAATTATTATCACATAGCATAAAATTGAAAGAATTATAAAGGAAGCAAACATCAAAAAAATAAAAATTTAAAAAATATAAAAGCATACATAACATTTTGTAATACAAAAACAATGAGGCTATTGTTTATATTTTCGATTAGACCATATTCAAATCATGCATTTTAAGAATGGAATCTGTATTGCATAAAGAAATAAATTATTAGAAAAAATGCAGTGTAAAGCTAATAAAATAAGAATGTCCTGCAAATTATATAAAAAGATTAAGCAAAAAAAAAGAAAAGAAAATGGTGATAACATTCAAATATTTTTGAAAAAAAAAAGAGATGACATCATTTGATTAAGTCACAAGCAAAAACTGCAGTGGCAATCAATTACAAATATTTTTCAAAGATTTTCACAGTTGTCCAATATTAGAAAAGATTGGATAAAGACATAATAAATACAATTTCAATAAATGACTTAAAAAAAAAGTGTATGTACAAATAAAATAGCTGTTAATTTCCCATTAGCCATTAATTTTGGAATTTCCAAAAATACATCTAAAATTATACTTTTAAATATACATGTTTAGTAATTCAAAATTAATTTCTAAAATAAAAAATAGTCAAATTTTCATTACTAAAAAAAATATATATATATTTTTTTATATGCATGCAAGTGTTAACATATGAATACTATTCATTTCTAAGCACTTACTTAAAATATAGCCAATCAGATGGAATAGTAAATTTTTATTGTTAAAATTTTTTTTTTAAGAGCTGTATTTTTTTGAAAAAAAAAATACAGCTCTTAATATAACTAATGTTATGTACACATGTGGTAATGGTGTAGTGGTAAAGCATTGGCTTTGCAAGAAGTTCCAAGTTCAATCCTCACCACTACCCTGGTAGTACTGAGTTTAACTAGTTTTTACATCCAGCAACCCACCCAGCGGTTTGATTTTCAAAGCTAAAAGGTTGAAAGGGGGTTGTATTCAAAAAAACAAGAAGAGTAGCCCCCAGGCCTCCTAGACTATTGTGGTCCCATTAGATTTAGGGTGGTGAAAATAGTAACAAAATAAAAAAAAAAGTAAAAGAAATTACTTTGGAAGTTCTTAATTGAAAGCATTCTAGATTCAATGTCTTGGACACTAAATTGGTTGTAGGACTTATTTCTTTATTTGTGGGGAATCCATAGCAATACCAATTAATCTTCCCTTTAAATTTCAGTCATTTTTAAGATTTTTATTTTAAAGTTATTTATGCAAATGTAATTAAAAATTTTTGTGTTAAAAGGATAGACGTTTGATTATAATACTTTTTTAATTAATATTTGATTAAATTAATTTAAAAACAAATTAAAAAAAAAAGTTACGAAACAACAACCAGATTGGACAAAAAACAGAAAGAAAAAAACATTAATATTTTTTTAACTTGATTAAATGATATATTGACAATATTATAATCAAGAGCCTGTCCCCTTAATTAAAAAATCTCCGTTATGTTATTAATTAATATTATTGTTAATTAAATGTTTTTATTGAATGTTGGTTTTAATTTAATTTTTCAAATATAAATACATTTAAAAAAAAATTTTTTTAGAAAAAAAAATTTAAAATTGTTGCATAATTAC